GGACAGTGTCTAAGAAATTTGCAGATCTTTATTAAAGCTTCCTCACATCGGAGATTAAGGTGAGATTAGTTAAGATACTGAGGGAATACAGGTTGTGCTGTAGAGAAAACAACAAAATTGACAAGAGAAGATGGAAAAGAGATGGGAATTCACATTTGTTTTCTTGGGAGGGGTGGGAAGGGGAGCATCTATTTGGAAAAAAAATTAATAGGCATGGCTGATTATAAGACATTGAAACTGCAGACAGTTGATTTGTGATGGTGTGAGGAAATTGGTGTGAAGGTATGTGCAGTGGTGCTGCAAATCTGTTTTCAGTTCGAACACTGTATTTCTGCTTTTCAGATCAGGAACTTGTAAAGCTTAGCTGAGTCAAAAAGCAGGGTGGATTTCAGCATCTAGGAGAAGCAGCTTAACTAGAAGTCTGCAGTTCTGAGACAGTTGCAGGTAATGCTGAGTGTGCCTTTGTGACATCCTGCAGAGGCAGATATGTCAAAAATTAAGTGGTGATAGAGTCCTCAAATGAAGCATTTTTGCACTGCATCCTCATCCCTTCTCAGTTCCTCCTTGTTTGTATGGCTATTGGGTAAACTAAGTTTTCTCATAGATGAAGAAAACAGTGTTTTCTTTGTTTTCTATTTCTTAGTTGAAATAGGTTAAGATAGAACGTGAAGCTTAACTGTTGAATTTATCTGACACATGGTGAAGCAGATTAATGACCTGGCTGTATCAATGGGCAGCCGTAATCTCTCCACCCTAGATTAATGTTGAAATGTACTGAGGAATAGTTTAAGTTGCATTTACATTTGCATAGTTTCATCCTATTAGTTTAGTTATTCTTCTCTGAAACACTTGAGACAACTCTCTTAGTTATTGTTTTTATTTGCCAAATACACTTAAACTTGCTCCATAATGCAGCCAGATCAAGGCTTTCTGTGATTATGAAATACTGGTTTTGGAACAGAATTGTACACCAAGATCCCAGTTTCTATCCATCAGAGGAAAGCAAAACCTAAAACAAACCTAGCTCACTAGATACCAAGAAGAACTTGAACAGAATATATGGTTTTCCAAATCTGCAGGCAGTTTGAAACAGTAGCTTTGTCTCTATTTACCGTTCATACTTGCCTAGTACTAGGTCTTGGTCTTAATTAAGAAGTAAGGGTATAGAGAAATTTGAAAGCATGGAAATAAAATAGTAGTAAAGAAAAGGTAACCTTCGTTTCGCCTGTGTTTGACTGGTAGAAAACAAAAGTTTTCTTTATATACATAAATTTATTTCTATATTTACAATTGTATAAATTACACATTCATTTCTGTATTTACAAAAGTAAAATATTTACCAATGTTTGCATCAACTTGTCATGACTTTAGGGGTTATGTAGGTGTTTGGGTTTTTTTTAGGCCATTTTTTTTTTTCAGAGTATGTGTAAAGCCTCAGGTTTTGTCATTTGAGACTGAATTGGAACGGAGCGCATCCAGGGGAACACCAAGGGAGAAATGTGGAGTTGATTCTATCTGTATGAATTTGCACATGAAGATACTGTTCTGTTGCATTGGAGAAGACTTGTCTTTTGCTCTTCTCCATGCCTTGTCCCTTCTATTCCTTCAATTTCTTACTGTTGTCTAAAGTGCAGTGGCACCCCTCCCCCCAAAAAGAAATAGTGATGGAATTTTCCCTCATCTCTGGCATTAATGTAAAACCTGCTTGTAGTGCAACAACCATACTGGTTCTGAGGTTCTTGTGAAGGCAATCAAATTCATTATGGGGTTTGATACTATCCACTATAGTACATTCTGGAGAGGCTAGATACACTTCATCTTTCGCTATTTCCTTTAATTTTGTTTTATTTGAAGTATAATCTACATAAGTATTAAAAACTTTTGTCTGAAAATCTGCAGTTCACCTTGTACTTTCATGTGTGCCTGGGGTAGAAGATGGTCCTGAAGAATAAATAAAGCAATAGCTACAGCTTCTGCCTTTGTCAAGATAACCAGGAAACTTTGCACAAAATTACACAAAAGTACTACTTTGACTACATTTCAGTTTTGCATTTTAAAAATAATACTATAAGTGTTTGTATGTCTATGGAAATTATTTTCTCCAGTATTTTCTGTCCCTCTTTTTTTTTTCGAATCGTTTTGCCATTTATGCCTCCATCATTCTGAAACTATTAGGAGCCTTTTTGCTGCTGCGATAGTGGTGGTGGTTGCGAGGTACTGGGAATAGAGAGATACTGATGAAAAAGTGGTAGGATCTCATGATGGAAGTTTGTGGAGTGGAACAAACATTGTATGAGTTGAAGGTGTGAAGTCCTGAATGCTGATGTGCAGTAATAGACATTCTGGACATGTTTCTATTGTTAGGTGTATCTGTTCTTAGAGTGTGTCTTCGGTGTGTCAGAATGACAGGAGAAATCATACGTTACATGGAATGCAACCTCAGCAGTGGAGCTGGGTCTTGGGACCACAGATCCATACCTTACTTTGATCCGTTCATCTTTGCTATGATATGTTGATATTTTTTTTGAAGTACGAGCATGCAGCACTAACTGGGTTCAGCTACTGACTTTATAAAATCCTCACTATGCACCAGTGTCTAATGTTAGTAAGATCATAATGAAATTATCTTCTTAATACAGTGTTTTATTTTAGTAACATTATTTTCATTCTTTAAATAAAACCAGAATTATTCAACATACATTTTGTGGAACATTTGATTGGTAAAATAATTTTGAGTATGGTGCGTAACATTTCCACTCCTAAAGAACTGCTTGGAGACTTGAGTTGGCCTGTGCTGGCAGCCTTACCACTTTGCTGTATTTAAATTGCTGTTATGTGCCCTGTTGTGTAAAACAGGCTTTTGTTTTTTTCTAAAGTTAGTATATTTCATAGTATCCAATTTGAAAGATCAGTCCTATAAAAACTCTTCCCATGTTGTATAGTGTTTTAGCCTTTGCTTCTGTAAAATGAATTTTATATCTAACATATATAGAAATAAAATTATTTCATGGGTAAGTCTCAGAAAATTACTTCATTTAGTAGGGAAGATAGTTTGGCTAACGCAGAAGACTAGAAGTCACCAGAGCTTTTCTCAGGTCTTCCTGGTAAAGATACTTGTTATGTTGCTGTCTGGATTTGTGAACTTCTTAAGGTAACGGTGGAGTTCAGTGTGCAGGTGACTTTGGACAAGCTTACCACAGTAGATCTGCTGGATGTTACCACATGTGTAGAGAGTCAGCAGTAGTGAGCGTGCTAGCTCCTGCATTCCCACAGCTCAGCACCTGCCATATTCATCCAAAATTAATTTGTAGCATTGACTTTTGCAGCCAGAACAGAGAGGCATTCTAGACTTCCCTGTTTCTGACCTGGAATTCTCTTCCTAATGCAGAGGTTTCCCAGAGAATGATTTTAACTTTAGTTGCATCAGTGATGTAGTTTACAGCACGGTCCTGCAAGTGGTGTTACATGTGCAAGCAAAAGGAAGGCCAACTATGGTGTTGGGAAACACTGGAGTGAGACTTTATTAGCACCAATCAAATTTTTGTGTGTAGCTACGTCCTTTGTCTCTAAATAGATGAATGCTGGAGATGATTTGGAAGGTAGACTGGGTAACTATTATTCTTCACATGTTTTATCGTTTTGTTTTGGGTTTTTTTTTTTTTTTTCAATCTCTACTGGGACAGGATGCTGTTTATGATCTGACCCAGCACAATTTATCTTGTATTTTATCATGCAGTTCTTGCAGCTTTGTCTTCATTGTAGACATGATGGCTGATGCACTGACTCCCAGAAAGAATTTTTAGTGGCCACAGTGCTCAGTTCAGATTTCAGGGTTTGAGTGGGGATTGAGTTAATCTACATGATCACTGAGTTTGTTCTGCAGAGAAAGCAGTCTCTTAAGTACATCCAGGAAGTCACACAGCTTTTAGTTTGAAGCTTCAACAAAAGGAAAACAAAAATAAAATTGACGGTCTGATTATTAGTTTGTGCTAGTGGTTGGTCCTTTTCACTGAAAGACTACAAAGTAAACTACTCTGGTGAACCAAAGAAGGGGCTGGGGTTCAGTTTTCTAAGATAATTTATAGAAACTTTTTTTAAAATATTAATTTACACACTTGCAGCTCATGGAGAATCCAGAATAGTGTCTGAGAGGAAAAATGTTCTTATTAAAATGTAAAATGTACTATAATGCTGCTGTTAGTTCCTGGGTTAGATTGAATGATTGTTTTGTAGGGAGAGAGGGTACACATACTTGCAAATGCCCACCCTGTGAGGGTAACTTAAGAGGCTTTTTTGCATCAGTGAAACTGCGAAGACCTATTTCAAAACAGTAAAGTGGTTTTTGTGCGGCTTATCTCTAATGCTGAATAACATTCTTTCCTAAATGTTTTCTTCTCTATGCATAGTGGAAAAGATGTAAATTTGAGGTGAGAAGGGGAAAATGGAAAAAAACATGCTTTTTCTTTGTTGTTTTTCTTGGTCTTTCTTAGGTCAAACCCTCTTATTTAATTTATTTCTCGTATTACTTTATATATCACTGTGCATACTGAAAACTTCAGAAGGTCATCAAGAAGGGCTGTTTCTACTTCATATCACTTTAATTGAGAAATCCTGTGCAAACATAAATGGCTACTCAGGACCATTTGAAGCATGTTTACTTTTTTTTTTTTTTCAACATCTGTCCAACCTCTTGTTCCACAGTTTTTCCCAAGTTTCAAGCAAGCAATATCCTCCTGGTGACACATTCCCTACCAAGAAGAGTTCAGACTTAAACTTCAGTACTTCATTATAGCTTGTCTTTAACTTTGAAATGTATAGTAAGATAAACTTTTAAAATACAGTGTAGGTTACAAGGTCACAGAAACAATGTCAGTATGCACTAAAGGATGTTGACTTTTGACTGACATAGTGCTCTCAGCAGTAAAAAGATTTGATCATTATGGTTTCCTTCTCTCTGTTTAATGGGCTGCTTATGGATCTGTGTTTGTTCTTTTCCTCAGATATTAGGATTAAAGAAGAGGAGCCTGATCCAGAAGAGTGGCAGCTCAGTGGTGATTCTACACTGAATACCAATGATCTAACACATTTGAGAGTACAGGTGGTAGATGAGGAAGGGGACCAACCACATCAAGAGGGAAAAAGACTGCGACGAGTAGCTTGCACATGCCCCAACTGCAAAGAAGGTGGTGGAAGGTACGTAATGTTCAGTATTGTATGGTGCGTATAATGATGAAAGCAAATAATGAGTGGGGAAAAATGGAGCCTTAGTTAACAGCAGTTATCTACAGTGAGAGGAAACCAGAGCCTTATGCAAAAGAGCTTACGCAATAAAAGACTGCCACCCTTATGTCTGGTTTTGCAGATGAATGGACAGATTATTCCATCCTCTCTGAGTTACTCCATTGAGATTAACTGGAAAAATCACCTAGTACAGATGAGGGAACATAGAATGTTGCCCTAAATAATAGGAAAATGAAATATTTTGGAACATGCACATCTGTGACTTGCTTCCTATCGTATGTCAAGGACTTGATTAAATCCTGTGTTCCTGCATTTCTGCACTGATTGAGCAATTTTTTCACCCGCAGTTTGAGTGCTTTAGAGTGTTGTAAAAATACAGTTATCCTAGTTTTCTTATTCATGTGTTTCCTAAGAAAAACAAGGTTTGTATAATAACTCTAAATACTAAATTTTGAGTTGGCTGATTGTTTTCAAAATTAGTGAAGATTTGGCTAACAAAGAGCTACTAAGTTCCAATTTGTGTAAAACTTCAGGGCTGGCTGGGAAGCCATGTTTTATTATTCAGCCTCTCATCAAAGTATTCTTCAGCTTCTTGTTGTTATAAAGTTTGTATTCTCTTGCAAGGCACTTAATTTTAACATCTTAATTATGGATGTCAGAGAGGAAGTGAGGATAATAGGCTGCCTTTTGCAAGTGAAAATACTTAGATATGTTTGTGCTTGATATAATTGTTCAGGGGCTTCTTTCCTCTACACTAAAATTTGTCCATTTTGATAATAGTTCCTTCTCTAAAATGAAAGTCTTTATTTATGTGAAAACTGTACTGTAAATTAAAGTTCTCTGTAAAGAAGCTGTCAGTGTCCTATGGCTCTGAGGTCTAATAGTACTGACTGAATATGGCTAGTGTTAAGTCTACTGTGGGTTTTTGCTGTGTATTCTAGATACCTTCTTTGCAAACACGGAGAAGTAATATCTTAGGTAGCCATGCTGAGCAAGTATTAAGTGTTTAAGATAGAAGCACTTTCACACATTTACATCACAAATGAAGCTAGCGATAATATCTGCAGTTAAGCTTATACCGTGTCTTTGTTCATCAGTTGCTTCTTGTTAAACTCCTATGTGTAGTTTACTGAAACCTGGCACTCACATTTCTTAAGTTCTTGATGAATCTTGGCTCTGCCATGGAGGTCTGCCCAAAGTACACCCTGGGCTGAGATTTGCATCAGAAAAATCTGAAAATGTGATTTGCACTGGTTGTATTCTTAGGAAACAGAGATTTCACATTTCATCTTCCTCGTGCTCTAGTCCAAGCTACAGTGGCTTTAATTTAGAGACAACTTTACTTTAAAGTCCTCTTCCTCTTAAGTGGAGTTGCTATAACACCAAATTTTAAAGTCAAGTCCAAGAGAGAATCTTTTGAGAGGTGGTTTTGATGAAATCTGCAGAAGGGTGTAGTCTGTCTGAAACTCACATATGGGAATTTGGGAAGGAGTTGAGATAAGAGCTTGGACAGAGTTCAGGAAGGTGAGAACCTGAAATCCATTGTAAGGGAAGGACTGGACACATCATCTGCACAAAGTCAGTAGGAAAAGTAGGACGGGAAGACAGGATGTGAGAAGAATTAGAATGGAATAGAAACAGGATAATGAAGGAGACAACTGTGGGGAAAGAGAGCCTACAGCTGCTAGAGGAACTTTCCCACTGGAATGCAGAATTCCTTCAGAGTCTAGCAAACAGGAGTAAGCCCACTTGGAGTATTTTCCTTCTCCCTCTTATAGATGTTGGTCATTTTCCATAGTTGCTACAGTTACTTGTGTTTCTCTAGTGCTGTAATTCAGAGTTTTGATTTGTCTTTTGACTCTGCCGATGACTTGTGGATTTTCAAATAATAGGTTATTTGCTTTTATAAATTTCTTCTTTCTTAAAATGATGTTAAGGTTGCAAAATTGAAAACTCGGAAATCAGCAAATGACAAAGTTAAGATATCCTGGGCAACTTTAATCCTGTGTGCATCTGCACTACCATTTAGTATCTAACTACATGACTACATACTGTTTTTTTCATCTGACCCCAGTGCCATTCAGTGGATGGGATGGATGATGCACAGGGAGTGAATCAGGGCTGTGTGATGATTGGTATCTGCTTCACTTGCGGCAGAAATTGGAAGGCATCTAGGGAATGACATACAGAACTGCAGCCACAGGGTTCTGAAGTTTTGGAGGTGTTTGCTTATCCACCCCACTTTTTCCACTGCAGAAGTACTGAGTTCATTCCTATAAAGAAGTTGATTGAGCTGAATTGTGAACATCTACAGCCTCTAAGAAAATACTTCCACTGTATTGAACTTAATACCTCAAGCTGGTGGGTGTTTGACGGTTTTGGCTTTAAGTTCTTTCTTCGTCATATTTGGGTGTATGAAATGATTGTACTAATTCAGGTTCACTACACAGGAGTGCTGCAAGATGATAAACTCATTAATGTTTATGAATGGCTTAGATACTGTCAGTGTTGTGAGTGCCCATGGGGAAAAAAAAAAAAAACAAGCTGGGGAAATGAGTAATTCTGTACTTAAGATAGTCCTTAAATAATATGTAACTAGTAAGACAAGAGAAGCAGAATCAATCGGTATGAAAAAGCTGAATAGCATTTCACTCAATGAATGCTATCCTTCCTATGCAATAAATGGAGTAGAAGAAGGTAATACATGGCTTCACATATGCAGACTTCTTCATAATTTCATCTTTTGTGTAGCTTCAGTTTTGGCAGTTCTCTTTTCTTTTTTTGGATGGAAAGGGGAGTGGAGAGGCTCTTTTTGGGTTTTGTTGGCTTTTTTTTTTTTTTTTTGACTCTAGATACAGAATTAGACTGCATGGCAGTCTTCAATAATTTGTATTTGTACCAGTCCTGTGAGGTAGGGAGCCACTATTATCTTTAATTTACTTGGCAAGGGTAAAGGTAGGAAAGGCAGAGGATGATGTATTAGACGTATAAATTAAAACCTTGGAGCCTCAAGCTTATATAGTAAATGGGGTATAAGCACGTGGAAGAAGAGGGATAGAGAGACATACCTCAAAGGATGACTCTGATCCCAAAGATCATGGTGTCTTAAGTTAAGTGGAACTAGTACTGCTTGGATCTGTAGAGGAGCAGTACTTCTGAGTACCACTTCAGGTACTCCTAAATTACAGATGCTTAAAATAACCATTAAGTGTATGTTTTACCCTTTAAATACTTGATGTTCCTCCTAGAAGCACTGCTCGATTGAGAATCCAGTTTCTCTGTGGAGGAATGTGTCTCTTGCTGGATCTGTTGCGTTCTGCATGGTTACTGAGAAACATGGTTTCCAATCTTAAGTATTGTATATATTAAGTACAATCTTTCTTAAATATTAATTGATTTGAAGAATCCAGTCAAGAAGTAGGCCTGAGTCATGTCCTTATACTCAGTGATGATGGTTATTGGCCAGTGCAGCAAGAAAAGGCCTCTCAGCATGACACATTAGGGTGCAGTGCCAGACTGTCACAGCTGCAAAGTGTCCAGATAGAATCTGGCTCGCCTCCAGTCAGCGTAGGGCACACGTGAAGCACACATGCAGATGCCTATACGAAGCTGTGTAGAATATACTTAGTTACTCATTCACCATAGTCTTGTGGGTTTTGTTCTGTGAATCCCTAAATTTCCCCTCACCTTGAACTTCAGAGGCTGCTAAGGAATTCTGTCACCAGTTAGGTGAGGTGCTCAGAATGACATGGCTGCGCCAGCTACGCTCAGGAAGCTGGCCATGAGTTGAACCTGCCGTTTCCTTCAGTCTAGGCTGAACGTGCAATTAAGCAACTTCAAATGATTAACTTAGGAATCTTAAAATTATTCTAAGGGAATTATGATGTGATTTCATGTCATTTGTGTCACGTTTATGCATGATATCGTGCAGAGTTAGAAAATATTTGTACTGATTGTTGTGGAGGGGAAGGCTATAATGTATTTGGAGAAGGCATGAGGATGAAATGCCAAATACAAAAAAAACCTTCTATATACAGAAATATATTGCCAAAGGCAGAAAAATATTTTGTTGTAATAAGCACAGGCCAAACACTTCTTAGGGTTACATGGAGTTGGACAGGCAATTAAAGACACAGGATAGAGGTGTTCTGTGGAGAATTCTTTTGGTTACCAAGACTGTTCAATGGAGAAGAGTCATGAGTGTTTGTCTGCCTTGCACTGCAATTGCTGGGTGCCTTGAGCCACCAAACAAGAGGACCTGAAGAAGAACTGTCTAGAACTGAATCATTAGATGAAGGTGAATGTAGGATCTGAGAGCTGGAACTAGTTGCAGTAGGGCAAAAGGAAGAATACAGAGAATTGTTTCCTTGGAGCCTGGGGAGCTGGCTGTTTTGGGCTGGTATATGAATGCGACTGGAACTGTTACAGGAACAGTGAGTTTTGTGGAATGGCCTAGCCTTCTACAGAGGCTGAGAAACTAGAAAAGAAGAAGGGCAATCTAAAGACGTTTTGTTAAATGCCTTTGAGATTGGCTGAATGTTAGAAACTTCTGAATATTGAGCCTTTGTGTAGGTGGCATAAGACAAAGTTAAATGCCTGGCATGACAGTTAATTTTGCTTTTTAATATTTGCTTGAGGGAAGGCCACGGAAGAGTGTGAACCTGGCAGTTTAGATATAGCAAAGGTTACTAAAAAAGGATGTTTCAGCTGAGGTAGGAGATGTAAAAAAGGCAATGTTTGTCCAAAGAAGTGACCTTCTTTAGGAACAGTTGAAAAACGAAAATTAAGTCAAGTTTAAGATCTGAAGTCAGATGTCAGAGAATATTTTGCATTAAACTTATAAGCAAGCTGCTTAAAACAAGCAGATGAACTTTCTGTGAAGTGAAGGATTTGAAGAGTGGCAACAAACACTCCAAAATTAGCTAGATAAGCAGAATCTTCCCTATCACCATATCCACAGGCTTATATGAGTCAACTGCTACCACACCAGGGTCAAAAGCCTTCTGGATTCTCTTAATTCTACTGATGTTGAATTTGTTCTGAAGTCAGAAACTACATTGTCATGACAAATAATTAGTATGTAAAAAGTGATAGCTTTTTCTTCACACAATGACTGATGAAGCACTACAAAGATTGCTTTATACTGAGTTTTCTTAGAAACATTTTCTAGGACTTAACTGGATTTTATCTCCTTACTTTTATGGACTGTCTGGAATGTTTTATGTGCTTAGGTTGGAATTCCATTTAGATGCTGTGAGTTTTTAGAGTGAGTTAATTCCTGTGTCTGCTCAGAAATGCTTGCTCCATAAAGTTTTGCCTTGAAACCTCATTAGATGTAAACCAGAATTGTTCTGAGTGTAGGTCTAATAGTTGCTTGGCAAATCCTTCAGCCGCTGGATGGTTAAGCAGAAGTTGAGCACCCAATTTAAGGAAAAATAACTGCCCCGGGGAAGCAGCTGAGAATTGTATAACCAGTCATGGAGGATGAAGTGCCCAAGACTGTGACTTCAGAATCCACTTAAACTGTTCTAAGTTAACACTGCTGATGAATAAGGTGGCCTGATGCTTGGCTGCCTTTTCCAATCTCCTCCCTTGTACCAGCATTTACCATTCATATAGCTGCGTTGTCAGCCTTATCTATTCCCTGGTGTGCCCCTTTCAGCAGCAGCAGCAAACACTTAAATTGGCTGAAATCAATCATAGTGCCCTGTGTTGGCC